CAGAACCTCTGAGCTAAATCCCAGGCTCAAGAGTTATTTTTTTTAAACTTTGATTTGCATGTTATATATGTGTCATTACAATATGGATGCTCAGGCACTGAGCTGTCCAAACAATGTCACACACTAAAAATTAGAGGCTAGTCATGGTAAACTTCTAAGGTACATTTATAGACTGGTGCATTCTCCTTAGATGGCATCCTGTGAAGGAAAACAAATTAGGTGAGAGTTTCTTTGTGTCGTTGTGATCAGATGGAGATGTTATGTGGAAAAGGCTGTTCTATACTAAGATGGACATTTAACTGTGTTACAAAGATAATGTCATCCTGCTAAAATACTGTGTGTGGCTCTTGATCTCAAGTTTTCTCTGGAAAAACTACATAACTTTTGTCTGTTAACATTCTGCAGGGATTCAAGTACTGAAACAACCACGGTTGATAAAAATAACAGTCCTCTGGCTATACTCATATTTCAAAGTACTTGATATCCAAATTAAGTTATACCAGTTAAGCGCGATGCTCCTGCTGCAATCCTGATGTACCCAATCTTCTCTTCTTTTTGTTCAACAATTAAAGTTTAGAGACCAGGACTAGAAAGGTAACTGGGCTAAGAGGACAGCTGATATTTTGGCCCTGGTCTTCCAAGATCAACGAGGACCCAGGACATAAGGGAACCTTTTCTTCAAGATCCTATAACTTTGGTGAGTCGCTCAAACTCCTTAGCAGGGAGATTTCTAGGCCCCAGAAAACAAGAATCAACAAATATACTTTGTGCCAAAGGAGGGTCACCAAGAGGAAAGAGTCTCCCTCCCACGCTTTCACAGAGAGCAACACGGTCAAGGAAGGTGTGATCCATCCTGGCCGCTGACACTGACAGAGGAGCAGAGAGGCTCTGTACATCGTTCCAAGGTAATGCCTCAGGAGACTTTTATACAGCAAGAGGTTAATTTTAATTAGCACAGGTCTTATTTTTAACTTGGTCTTAAATGCCCAGCAGAAAAGTATAACCACAGAGATATAAAAACAATGCCATAGTACTAAAAGCCAGATGTAAAAAGGGGCTCCGCTTGCTGACCCCTTCTGACAATTTCCAAGTATTACCAGTAGCTGAACACTGTTATGGTTCAGTATAGCTGAAATCTATTAAAAAAGAGTTATAAAATATATTTTTAAAGTTATAAAAGCTCAACAAGAGTCTCAAGTTCTTTAGCTAAAATTGTCCTTCAAAACCACCAACCTCTCTCCTCCTTATAACTAAAACTAGAAAGACTTGTCACAAAAAATATAAGACTTAGAGATAATCTCCATCAGTAGACTGCTTGGCTCTTAGGCCTGTGTGAGAGGTTCCTTAAGAGCAGTGTCCAAACGTGGCTCTTTCCCCAGTGTGCATTTCCATCCTAATGTTCGTGTTTTGATTATACATGCCTTAATTTCACAGAAAATTTGTTTATTCTTGCCTAGAGGCTGCCAAACTCCAAGTGATTATATGTTTGTTTTTTTTTGTTTGTTTGTTTGTTTAGCTTTTTGAGACACAGGGTCTCACTCTGTAGTTGAGACTGACCTGGAACTCACTATGTAGCCCAGGCTGGTCTGAAACTCATGGCGATCCTCCTGCCTCAGCCTCCCGAGTGCTGGGATTACAGGTGTGTGCCACCACGCCCAGCCCAAGTGATTAGATGGATGAAGCCAATGACAAACCTGCAAGACTCCTTTTATTTTTTTTTTTTTTTTTTTTTTTTTTTTTTTTTGGTACCAGGGATTGAACTTGGTTCCTTGTGCTTGCAAGGCAGTCAGTGGAACCACTGAGCTAAATCCCCAGCCCTTGATTTCTATATTCTTAAGGTGTCCCCTGAGGTGACTCAGCTCCAGGGCAGGTAGCTGTCATCTGAAGAGCGAATGAACGATAGGTTGGGTTGGACTGTCCATTCTTTCATGGCCTTGCAACTCGATCTTCTCCAGAAATTTCAATTTTTAACTCCAGCAGGTGTTTTTAACAGCACAAGTTGAAACTAATTTTAGCTGTAATAATTTTTGAAAGAAGAAAGCATTGCAAACAAAACCAATAATCAAGAGATCTCCACCATTACTTTCTAATTCTTTGAAAGAGAGTGAGGAAAATAGATCAATGGGCAAATGTGAGCACTTCTCAGCCTGCAAAGGAGATCACCTCCCGAGACAGAGTCAAGATAACGGGCTTAGGAAATTCACCCTGGGCCCTAGGACAAAGTCCCCAAAGCATTTATGTGATCTACCTAATCACCTAGGGAATCTTGCCTAGCAGTAAGAAGGCTAAGGTTTACTTAAAATCTGTTAAAATGTCTGTGCTCTGCTGGGGATGTAGCTCAGTGGTGCTGCGCCTGCCTGACAAGTGCAAGGCCCTGAGTTTGACCACCAGTACCAGAAAAAAAAAAATTCTATTCCTATGTCTGCAACACATTCATGAAAACTCACAGATAAAAACTTCTACCCAGCCAGGGATTTAGCTCAGTGGTGCCACCGCCTGCCTCACAAGGGCAAGGACCAGAGTTTGATCCCTGGTACCAATCCCCACAAAACAAACAAACAAAACCTTATACCCATTGCCCAGCAACCACTGTTCCATGTTAGCGAAGGCACATTTAGCACTTTCCTACATGCGTGTGAAGAGAAAGGCTGGCTAAAAATCCCTTGTTTACTCCAAGTTGGCATACGTAGGACATGAGTGTAAATTCTTCTCCAATAGCTGTTCTCTGTGAAAAGCAGACCACTGTTGCAAGCCGCCTCAGCCTCAGACCTCTTGTAGAGAGGTGCAGTCTAACAATGAGGCGTTCTGACGTTAACTCTGTGATTTGGACTTGAAAAAAAAAAACTTAGGGGGTTCTTAACTAGGACCTTTGTCCTAATGAAGATTTGTCAGGGCGTCTAGAGAGTTATTATTTTTATTTGTGCCTGGCCCCTTAGAGCTCTCTTATTGGCAGGGAAACGTCCAGATGTGTAGCTAAACACTTAGCAGCATCTTGTCTCCGGTCACTGTGGGACGGAGGACACCTGAAGATCACTGAGAGAGCCACCTTTCACCTCACCGAGGAACGCAGGTACAGACGACAGAGAGGTGGAGACTTCTGCTGGTTACCCAGTCAGGCTTCTGCTGAGGAGCCTTCGGGTATCTGCCCGAGAGCAGCTTTGGTCGTGGGCCCTCAGCTGGCCTCTCAGCTCCCCCTGGTTCCACACACCAGAGCTTTGTCTCGGGAAAGGAATCCAGCTGCCTCTCTGACCAACGTTCCCTCAGCCCTCGGCTTCAGTGGGGACTCTCCAGAAGAGGCTGCAGAACCTACCCTCTACTTTTTAAGAGAGGGGTGGCTCCTCTCAGAGTATTTACCAGCTGGCAGGCTAACCACTGTTTTCGGTTTAGCATCCTATGAGGAACAGATAGAAGCCTCAGCTGTTTTGATCTAAAATGATTTCCTTCTCTTTGGTGCTAACAAATGCTCATTTTTCTATGGGCTCAGCTTAAAGGTTCTTAGTTATTGGACAGGAGGGGGAGGTTGGGGCAATCGAGGATACCCCTCTTTCTCTAATCTTACATGCATCCAGAAAGGAAAGTACAAAGTGACAGGGAAAGACCAGAAACGAGATCAGAAAAAGGAAATATTTCCTTCTCCCACTCATGGTGAGTTATTGAGGCAACTTGCTCCAGAGTTATCACTCTCAGCCTGGGAAAGGAGGATGGTGAGTCTCTAGAGCTAAGAATGACTTCTCACCAGAGGAAGATCAGGCCAGAAAGGAAACTGAGGCAGGACAGGCTCAACAATCCTTGTAGAGTGCAGAGGACTGGGGCAGACTGCCTCAGTGAAAAAAACGTCTTCCAGGTGGTCAACCATTCGCCTTTTAACTGGCAAATAGAATCCCATGATTTTTGATTTTTTGAGACAGGGAATCACTAGGCCAGGTTCAGCCTGGCCTTGAAACTCACTATGCAACCCAAGCTGACCTCGAACCTACGGCAATCCTCCTGCCTCACCTTTCTGCAAGCTGGGATCACAGGCACATAAAAAAGACCCATTTTACAGCATTTTCTAAATTTACTCTGCAGTTAGTAATAAAGGCCACTAGGTGGTGCTATAACACTACTTTTTCCTATGGCTGGTTCTCTTTTTACACGTGTGTCCAATTTTAATTCACTTAAAGAGTATAGTCTCAGATGCATCCATTTAATGATAAATGTCTCTTTATGGTAGAATACTATTCCACTGTATAAAAAACCCACATCTTTTTTATCCATTCATTGGTCAATTTGAGTTGTTCCTAAGATCTAACTATTATAAATTGTGTCACTGTAAACGTGGATGTGCATATATAGCTGTGGTATGATGCTTTCACTTTTTTCAAGAAGATACCCAGAAAGGCAACAGCTGAGTCAAATGGGACTTCAAATCCTAGTTGTTTGAGGTATCTCCATATTGTTTTCCACAGTGTTGCACCAGTCTGTACTCCCACCAACAATGGAGAAGGGTCACTTTTTCCCCACAGCCCAGCCAGCATTTATTGTCGGTTGATTTCTTGATAACACCATTCTTTCTGGGGTGAGGTGGAATCTCACTGTTCTTTTTTTTTTAATTGAGTTTATTGGTACATTTTAGGGATACAGTACAGTTACATTCATCACTGGTCCGTCAGCTGTCAGCTGTTATCTTGAAGTAATCAGTAAGAATTCAAGCTGCGGAAAAGTGACCCAAACACCAAGCACACTGAAATAGCCCCAGAAATTTACCTTGTAAAGTTCATAGATTCAGAATCTTTCTAAGCACCTAAAATAGTTGAGGTTTAAGAATTTCAAGGGGGATGGAGATGTGTAGATATAGGTGTACAAATGCACATCTGTTATAGTACATATAGTATGGCGACCATTGTAAAGGAACACGACATGAGCGTAGTCATATTGACCTGTGATTCACCCGAGCGGTGTGGACGTGCCGTCGCTATAGCAATGGGCTAGTTCAGCTGGTGGTCTGATCTATTGCCTAGCAGATGTAACCCATAATGGTTGTTATTGTTTCCCTCTGGAATGTGTGGGCGGTACTCTCGCGCCCGTGCAGCCCTTGCTCCCGTGCAGCCGTCGCTCCCGTGCAGCCCTCGCTCCCATGCAGCTGGAGAGTATAAAAGGAAGAGGTTCTGTAATAAAGCAAGCAAGAAACCAAGCAAGGAACATAAGAAGAAAAGTGCCTCCCGTCTCTCTGTTCTCGTCCTTTCAGGTTTAGGACCTGCTGGCAGGATCCTGATGTCGCGGCTCGCGACAGGACATAGCCTCCCATATCCTCAACTTAAATAACGAAAGAATACATAAAAGAGAAACAAGGCATAAAAACTCAAGCATAAGCAATTAGTAAAGGCAAGACAAAATTTAAGAATGACAATTTTTGATTACTTAAGCGAGTCACAATCCAGAGTCTGTGAAGCAAAAGCAAACTCTTACCTCCTTCTAATCATTTCTTACCTCACTGGCCCCTCTCCAAGATGACCCAGGGATGATATAGGAGATGAAACAGGACCTCCAAATGATATAAGGGCAATATAATTTCCAACCTGTTAGATGTCTGATATGCAGGCTTCATGTTCTCTAAAATCGAAGAATGAATTCTACGAACAACACAGATTAAAAGTAGGAAACATTGAGAGGCTAGCTGGGGATCCTACTTTTCAGGGTAAGTTTTATAGAGCAAAAACCACGTGGGTACAATGTGGGTTAAAACTATGAACAACCAGTAAGATTACAAGTACAGACGCTGTGGTAGTAGTGATCCAGTGAGGAACAAGCCACATAACCAGTGTGAATGGAAGAAACAGGCATATTCTAGGAAATGCTAGGTCTGGAGATTGGACTGATGTCTTTTTGGACTTTATTAAGCCAGGTGTTACCACTTGTCTGGTCCTTTGCAGAAGTACGAAGGCCTGGTCATTTTTAGGTAGAACCGGGCGTGGTGGTGCACACCTATAATCCCAGCACTCGGGAGGCTGAGGCAGGAGGATCACCATGAGTTCGAGACCAGCCTGGGCTACATAGTGAGTTCCAGGTCAGTCTCAACTACATAGTGAGACCCTGTCTCAAAAACCAAAAAAACAAACAAGCAAACATTTTTAGGTAGAAATATTCTAGGCAGTCAGATAGGGCTGGGCCATTGACAGAGTCAGCACAAAAAATGAAAACATGGCCCAGGATTTAGCTCAGTGGTTCAGCCACCTGCCTTGCAAGCACAAGGTCCTGAGTGTGATCCCTGTACCAAAAAAAAAAAGAAAGAAAGAAAAGAAAACACATTACAACTGTGGCTGGAGATGCATTTGCTGGAGATGAGGCCTCAAGATGAAGGCAAAATGCCCAGGCCTGCATACTTCCCCAAGGACAAGATAAGCAGTCACACCTGGCTTAACAAAGTCTAGGTAGACATCAGTCACCCTGGTGGGAGACCAAGACCTCTGGACCCATTGTTTCCTAGAAAAAGTCTTTGTTCTTTCTATGCACACCTATTACGTGATTTGTTCCCCCACTGGATCACTATTACTTACGATTTGTTCCCCCACTGGATCACTATTACTTACGTGACTATTCTTGTAACCTTACTGATTGACCATAGCTTTAACCCATGTTGCACCAGTAGTTGTGCTCTATAAAACTTCCTCTGAAAAGTGGGATTCTCAGGTGCCCATTCGGGCACTCAAGAGCTATCCTCTTAATAAATATTTCCTACTCTTAACCTTTGTTGAGCCGAGGATTTAACTCAGTGGTTCTTCCACCTGCCTTGCAAGCACAAGGTCCTGAATTTGATCCCTAATAAAAAACAACAACGACAACAACAAAAAACCCCGTTGTTCCTAGAATTCATTCTTTGACTTTAGAAAACACAAACTCGGTGTATTATACATCTTACAGGTTGGGAATTATATCATATTATTTAGAGATCCTGTTTCATCTTCTACATTATCCCTGTATTAATTTTCCCCCTCCTCCCCTCCCCATTTACAAACACTTTATTTCCATCTTTTCATTTTCTCACATTTTTTTTCTTTTCCCTTATTCCTATTGCTGTTTCAAATAACCACTTGGGTCCGGTGAATCTGAATGCAGCACGTACAAAACGGGAATAAAATGTCACTTTCTTTGATGGGACATTATGGAGAGCACTGTAAAGGAACACGACATGAGCGCAGCCATATTGACCTGTGATTCACCCGAGCGGTGTGGACGTGCCGTCGCTATAGCAATGGGCTAGTTCAGCTGGTGGTCTGATCTATTGCCTAGCAGATGTAACCCATAATGGTTGTTATTGTTTCCCTCTGGAATGTGTGGGCGGTACTCTCGCGCCCGTGCAGCCCTTGCTCCCGTGCAGCCGTCGCTCCCGTGCAGCCCTCGCTCCCATGCAGCTGGAGAGTATAAAAGGAAGAGGTTCTGTAATAAAGCAAGCAAGAAACCAAGCAAGGAACATAAGAAGAAAAGTGCCTCCCGTCTCTCTGTTCTCGTCCTTTCAGGTTTAGGACCTGCTGGCAGGATCCTGATGTCGCGGCTCGCGACAGGACATAGCCTCCCATATCCTCAACTTAAATAACGAAAGAATACATAAAAGAGAAACAAGGCATAAAAACTCAAGCATAAGCAATTAGTAAAGGCAAGACAAAATTTAAGAATGACAATTTTT